TTATCAGTGCCCCACACTTTCTCCGACAGCTCATAGGCTTCCTGCTCATGCCGGCTCGTAAAGGTTGTTCCTTTACCTTCATTCCCCTTGTGCTTGTGGTTTGTGTACTTCTTTTTCAGCCTAAAAATCTTATCCTTCAGCTGGGCCCTCGTCGCATCAAAGTGCAAATTCTTCTTGATCAACTCAAAAAACTCGTCAAAATTATCCCTGGGGTCGGATTTCTTCTCCGCCCTAAACTGCAGCATTCCGTTGAGGATGGCGATTTCGTCGGCCTCGCTCCATATCCTCTGGAACAGTTGTTTCTTCTCGGCCTCGGGTTCAGCCTTCTTACTGTTCTTCGACTTCTTTTTACCAGTGGCCTCCGTCCCATTATCCTCCTGGACGGCCCGCTTCCTAGTAGATCTGGAAGCTGAAGCGGAGGCGGAGGCGGCGGTGGCCTTGTCTTTGCCTTTCGCGGAAGGGGCGGGCATAATGGCGGAAGGGGTTTGGGGTTTCCTCGCGGCGGCCGGCGGTGCGGAAGACTTCCGGATCTGTTCGGGCTCAGAATCGATTTCCTCAGACGAAGAATCGTGGGTTTTCTCCTCGCCAGAAGAGGTTTCAGAGGAGACGGGCTCACGGGCTTTCGACATTTTTCGGTGAGAAAATTATAATGTTAGGGTTTTTCTTTGGGGGAGGACTGAGCGGTGAGCAGGGAATCTCGATTTGGAGTTTTTGTATTTAACAGCAAAGCAAAGTAGTGGCAAGTTAATACTTAATAAAGGGTTTGGCTTGTACCAAAAAAATAAAAAAATAAAAAGGTTTGGCTTGTTAAGTACACGATGTTAATTTTAATTTAACAATATTTAAAACATTATTAAGGGTTTATAAATTCAACTAGTTTTTATTTGGTTTGTTTTTTAACTATAATTAATTTTGAAAAAAATGATATGATTAGTTGTTCGTGAATATATTAAAATAATATTTAAATAAAATAATTAATGTTGATTTGATGTAAAGTATGAGAAAAATGATTGGAAGTGATAGTTAGTTAAAATTATGTAAGAATGATTGGTGTATATTATTTAGTTATATTGATAATATGGAGGATAGTGTGGTTGAGTTAAATTTGAGTTTTTTGATTTATTTTTTATAGTTGAATGTATAAACAATCACCCTGTAGTTCCTTATTTAAAGACATTTTTGCCATTTACTCTTTTTTTTTTTCAAAGAGAATTTCTCACTTTCCGACCTATTTATCGACCGAACCGAGCTCTGAAAATTTTTTAAAAAACCTCCGA